TGAGATGGAGGGTCATTGTTGGGGCAAGGCCTGGAGGAAGCACTGCGGAGTGGAAGTCAGGGCACTGGGAGAGGAGGCGCTGGCAATGAAGGGGACAGTTGTTCCCCAGCCATGGCAAGCAGAGGTCAGGAAGAGGCAGAGAGACTTTCTGGCAGTGACGGTGCTCCTGTAGCATAGGAGAAAAGGGCTTTTTCTCCTGCAAACTTGGACGTTCAGAAGCCAAAACAGTAAGCAGAGGGTTATCCAGGCCTGGGGATTATCCAAAGAAAGGAAGTGTGGGAATGAGAGGGAGCGGCGAGCACACGGGAAACAGCTGGCCATGGAGTTGTGGCTTGGCGGGGTGGGGGGTGACTTGAGACAACATAAAGATGGCCTGGGAGAATGAGGACAGCTTGAGGGGCTAGAACCCAAGCTGAAGGCAGCGTGAGTTTGGTGGAAGGAAGAGAACTGAAAGAACCAGAGGTTACACTCAGAAAAGAGAATTTCCAGCTTAAAATCTTGCAAATGAAACTATGATTGAGTGAAGAAAAAGGCATCCTAGGTGTGATTAAATGTGTGGGAAGCTGAATGAGAACAGAGGTGGAGATGACTGAAATCAAAAGGAACAGTTACGGGGTGTCGTTGAATCTTCTTTGCGAAGGAGCTGAGGCACTGAGAAGTAACCAGTCTGAAGTGACACAGCTAAGAAATGGCAGAGTTGGGCTTTGAACCCTGATCTGTGGCTCCAATATCCACGTGATCATGTCACGATGGGAACGTGGTGCTTCACTCTCAGTGAGGATAAGAGCTGGGAATGAGGTAAAAAAAGATGGCATGCTTGGTCGCCCCATTACTCTGCATTCTGGGAATTCTTATATTGGGACCAGTCCTTATAAATTTTCTAACTAAATTTATTTCATCCTGTCTAGAGGCCATCAAGCTACAAATGATCCTACATTTACAAAAAAAAAAAAAAAAAGATTGCATGGAGAGAGAAGGACAACGTCCTGCAGGTAAAGGCTGGTTGAAACGGAATTAAGCATGAAGTTAATTTAAACATCGGGAAAGGAATAAAGGGGATTTAATCCGTATGAACCAGGTTCCTATGTTAGGGACATAATTTATTATCTCTTTCTCTGGACCACTTTTAACTAAAGTGGTTCTTTAGAGGTTATTAGTGTGAAACACATGACAATTCGCAGAACACTTTCACTTCATCTCTCGGTATCTTCACAACAGTCTCTGAGGGTAGCTATTATTATTTTGCTCATTTTACTGATGAAAAAACAGGGCCTCGAAGACTGATTTGTCCATGATCACACAGGAAGTGATGGATACGGGCGTGCAGTCCACATACCGTGTTCTTTTGTTGACTCAATAGAGCGAAAGTAGAACTTACTGCCCACACCACCCCTGAGTGTTTAATCTCTAGCTCTAGTACCTTCCACCTGAGGTGACTGACACCAGAATGAGGTGGTCTGGGAGAATGAGGAGCCCTGGGGGCCTGCAGCCACACCCTTGGAGAGAACTAGTAAGAATCTTACAAATTGGCAGGAATATAGAGATACTAAGAGTAGTCTGCACCTCCAAGGAATTCATTAACTGGAGGAGAAAGAATTGTTTAAAAAATTATAATCCTGGCCGGGCGCAGTGGCTCACACCTGTAATCCTAGCACTCTGGGAGGCCAAGGCGGGAGGATCGCTTGAGCTCAGGAGTTCGAGACCAGCCTGAGCAAGAGCGAGACCTCATCTCTACTAAAAAAATAGAAAGAAATTAGCTGGACAACTAGACAAATATATAGAGAAAAAATTAGCCAGGCATGGTGGCGCATGCCTGTAGTCCCAGCTACTCGGGACGCTGAGGCAGGAGGATCGTTTGAGCCGAGGAGTTTGAGGTTGCTGTGAGCTAGGCTGACGCCGTGACACTCAGTCTAGCCAGGGCAACAGAGTGAGACTCTGTCTCAAAAAAAAAAAAATTATAATCCAATATGCTGATTTCTATTCTATCCTGGTGCAAGCTATGTTGGGGGGCACCGAGGAGAAGCAGCTAGTACTGCATTGGGGTTCGAGGCCAGCTTCCGAAAGGAAGAGACTCCTGACAGATAAGGGGCAACTGAGTTAGGGCAGAGTTAGGGAACAACATGCACAGACGCACGAAGAAGGGCTTGTTGACCCATTTGGTGAACAAACTTGGCAGTACCCTTGGAAAGTTGGGCCCTGACTAAAGAGCCAGGCCATAGGGCCTTGTGTGTCAAGCTGAGGGCATCGGCCTATATACAGAGGGCAGTGGGGGAGAGCACTGTCGAGTTTTGAAGAGGGAAGTGGTATGATTAGATTTGTAATCTGAGCAATCTTTCCATAGTGAGGCAAGACTGGGCCCAGGGCAATCAGACGGGAGAGGCTGTCGCAGTGGGCCAGTTGAGAGATGCCGGCTTGAGCCCCGGGAGGAAGGCTAAAGAGGAGAGAACCTATTTAAGAACATCCTTGTTACATACATTTCTGAGCACTTGAGCTGCGGAGGTTGCTGATTCATAGCAGATGCAGGTGTTGCCTAGATACTGCCCAACTGCTCTCCAAAAAGGCCGTTCCAATTTATATAGATGTCTCTAGAGCACCCCGACTATTTTTCACTCTCTCTCAGTCTTCTGATAATGCTATTGCATATAAACTGCTCTGTAAGAAGCATTGTATTCTCTGATGTGGATAAAGAAAATCCAAAGCTTCATGTTAAGCTTGTGACTTCTCATGTACCATGCATGGCTCCCTCTGCCTTCTCTTCTACTGTGCCCAGATTCCTCGGTAGATGGAAATGTGTGTCTTTCTTGTTATTAGTCCCAGACTGTAAATCTAGTTCTATAAAGAAACATCGCCTCTCTTTATTATTTTCTAAATGAATTTAATTTCGATTCTGTGCCCCATCTCAGCAGAGTGTGGGAAATTCTACCTGAGTCATTCTTGCAGTTCCTGCCTCCCTAATGTCAAGACAAGTTCGTAGGACCTTTCACAGTGCCAGACATTCTGGGGGGGTGGGAAGGGATCTTGTTGTCTGTCATTGTCATTTGTAAGTTTCCACTAAGCCATTCATCGTCCCCTGTTCATTGCTGCTTCTGTGGGAGGTGAGGAGATCGGTCAGGCAGCTGGCAGCCCATTGCTTCTGGTGCGTCTCCCTGCACACACCAGGGGGCCACTCATCTTCGGGAAATTAGCACCTCTTCAGAGTGCTACCGAGAAGCAGGGCCTGGGGACCCAGTTCTCTTTCCTCCCTCTCCTCCCTCTGTCCAGGCTATATACCTCCCGAGGCAATCAAGCACAGAGCTGGCTTCATTTGGTAGGCACAGGGAGAAAGGGCAAAATCCGAAGAGGGAAAATACAGGCTTCAGCCTATGGTACCTAAAGGGATGAGCTGATTGGCTGTGGAGTGGGATAATTAAAACTGATGCAACATCACAATAAAGCAATATTACCGATACATTTTAAAATACTTAATTTGAAAACGCCAACATCCAATCTAACTTTAAAATACTTAAATGGCTCTATAGCCACCCATCATGTATTCACAGGGATTTTCCCAGGTGACATTGTCACTTTTCCTCCTAGGATGGAGACCCTTTTCTTCCTAGGCCTGTGTGGTAGGCAGAATAATTCCACCACCACCAAAGATGTCCACCTCCTAACCCAGGCCCTGTGAATATATTATATTACATGTCAAAGGGAAATTAAGGTTGCAGATAGAATTGAGGTTGCCAATCAGCTGACTTTGCAATGGGGACATTGTCCCGGATTATCTAGGTAGGCCCGATGTAGTCACAGTGTCCTCATAAGCAGAAGAGGGAGGCAGAGTAAACGAACCAGAGAGATGGCAGTGTGAGAAGGACTTGGCCTGGCATCGCCAGGTTTGAAGATGGAGGAAGGGGCTGTGGGCCAAGGAATGTGGGTGGCCCCCAGAAGCTGGAAAAGGCAAGGAAACAGACCCTTCCCTGGAACCTCCAGAAGGAACACAATCCTGCCAACACCTGAGACTCATCTCAGACTTATGACCTAGAAAGAACTGTAAAATAATAAATTCGTATTGTTTTAAGCCACTGAATTTGTTGTAATTTGTTACAGTAGCAGTAGGAAACAAATACAGCCTACAAAGGAAAAATAATGCTTTTTAATTTCCTGTCATTATTTCCAGTGTAACTGTTTCCATGCCAGGGCTGGAAGGTAACCCTGAGCGTGCCTGGTATCATGTTTGCTCCCTTGCCTGAGGGTGGCGGAGGATGGCCCGCCTCTGGCGTTGGCCACATGGGCTCTTAGAAGTCCATGCCTTCCCCTTGCCCTCCGAGCCATCAAAAAGCGAAGTCTTGACTAGAGACAAGCGTTCACAGCTGCTAAATTTACAAAAGGTTCTCCTTCTGAGCCTGTGACAGGACTGCACTTCCGGGCCTCCTGTGCAGTTAGGTGTGGATGTGTGCCTTGCTTTGGCCAATGAAGCTTTAACACATTGACTGCCACACTAGAGAAAAAAATTTTTTCCTTGGGGTCACGGTGTTTTATTATGAAAATGAATGAAAACTTCAAAAAACAAAACGATCCTTTCTAATTTAATGAAAAATTTGTTATTTTTTATTGTTTTCTGTGTGCGAGTTATATGCAGCTTGAAAATTGTTCTCGCAGCCCCCAAGGTGAGGAGACGTGTGAGTTGCATATGCTTCGTGAGGCCCCGGGCTCGGAACTAGCATAAGTTAAACACAACTTACACGGCAGTTATTGTGCTAAAAGACAGCGTGCGATTCGTTTCGTCCTCATCCCACCACTGCAGTGAGCATGAGATTGTGTGCAGAGATGGGGCCACCATCAGCCTGGGGCCCTGGGTGGCTGCAGTGAGCAAAGCCCTTGCCAGCCTGTGTTGCACATCTAACGTGAGTGAGAAATAAAAGTTCTGATTGGATAACACTTTGGGGCTTTTTTTTTTTTTTTTTAATCACAGAATAGCCTACTCCAGCCTGGACTGACAAATCTGGCTGTCTCTTTCCTAGTCAACCTCTTTACTCATGTGGCCATAAAAGGTACAGCCCAGGCCTTCCTCACTTCAGACATGACCCTGTGCCGTGCGGTCCCTGGCCCCAGCCTCATGACCTTTGCCTCACTTAACTCCAGCGGGCCCCGGCTTTCCTCTGGTCCGCGCTGCTACTGCGTCAGCCAGGAAGCTGCGGGCTACAAGTAAAAGCAGGAAGTGACAGGGATTTTTACCATCTCACTTCCTAAGTCCAGAGCGGCCCCAGGGCTTTTCAAGAGCTCAAAGACTGCATCAAGGACCCCAGACTTTTTCTATCCTCCGACTTTGGTAAGCATGTTTGTCCTCAGGTTTGTCACATCACATCACAGCTGTAAGATGCCACTTCATACAACCGCGTCCAAAGACGAGAAGCTAGGGAGAAGAATACTCCTCACCTATTTCTCTTTTTAACACAGGAAGCCCTTTCCCTGGACCCTCCAGCTTATTTCCTCTTAGGTGTCATTGTCCAGAACGCAGTCACCATGCATGGCTACTCCTACCTGCAAGGGAGGCTGGGAAAGTGAGTATCTGGCATTTCCATCCTCTGCTGTGGCAGAAGGGTGTGTCTGTCCAGTGGGAAAGAGTGGGGAGGGGCATGGCTGTTGGGTGGACACGCAACACGGTCTGCCGGACGCACCGCCTGCCCAAGCATCAGCTTGCTTCTCCACAGGGGCATCTTCAACGGCACATCCTGCTCTCGCCCGGCACTTGTGACACTCATCCACTCTTGGCTGCGGGTCTGCTGCTTCCGCGCCTTCCCACACTCCTCGGCTTAGACTGGTGAGACACACTGCCTGGGTTACAGCGCAGCTGAAACACCAAATGGAGTATGACTTGTGGCTGAAATTCCTCTCAAAGGTTTAATGCCAGTCCTTAGGGAATTTCTATTTTTCTCTCTCTCTCTCTTCTTCTTCTTTTTTTTTTTTTTTTGAGACAGAGTCTTGCTCTGTCTCCCGGGCTAGAGTGCCGTGCCGTCATCGTAGCTCACAGCAACCTCAAACTCCTGGGCTCAAGTGATCCTCCTGCCTCAGCCTCCCCAGTAGCTGGGATTACAGGCATGCACCACCATGCCCCTCTAATTTTTCTATTGTTTTGTAGAAATGGGGTCTCACTATGTTCCTCAGGCTGGTCTCAAACTCCTGGCCTCAAGCGATCCTCCTGCCTTGGCCTCCCAAAGTGATAGGATTACAGGCGTGAGCCACCCAGCCTAATTCCTTTTTATGATGGTTGTATGGGCTGGTAGTCCTCAGAGGCAGACAAGGAAGGTAGGATTGCCCTCAGGACTTTTGTCAGCCACTTATCTAAGGAGTTTTAAAAACTGGCATGCAAAGCTTTGGCGAGGTACTTGCTTTCTACATGCTGGTAGTAGCAGGAAGGGATGGAGTAAGTGAGGGCCATGCAGCTTGCAGGAAGCCCACTTCTCAGATCTAGCCTGGACAGAAAATTCCAAGCAGGAACTTGCCTGTCTCTTTCCCCCTCCTCCTCTTGCTGGGGGCTGTTTGGTGATGTTTGTTCAAGAATAAACAGGTTGCTGTGAGCTAGGCTGACGCCACAGCACTCTAGCCCGGGCAACACAGCAAGACTCTGTCTCAAAACAAAACAAAAAAAAACTCCTGGGCTCAAGCGATCCTCCTGCCTCAGCCTCCCGAGTAGCTGGGACTATAGGCATGCGCCACCATGCCCAGCTAATTTTTTCTATATATTTTTAGTTGTCTGGCTAATTTGTCCATCCCTGGCCCCCTTAGGCCTGTTAATGGGTTACAAAGGGTGTCTCCAAGAAGGGAGGGGGGCATGATAAGGCATGTCTGACCTCCCTCCTCGTGGCAGGCAATTTAGTTTTAGGGTATCCCCTTGGCCAAGAGGGGGTCCATTCAGTCAGCCAGTGGGGGATGAGCCTTAAGATTTTATTTTAGTTCGCAGAAGAAAAGGAAAAGACAAGAAAAGATTGATAAACTTGAACAAGTCATTAAATTTATTTATTTATTAATTTTTAGGGAATTTAAAGTGTGGAATTTATTTACAACTTTATTGGCAAAAAAAGAGGGAGAAAACTTTTAAATAGTTTAACACAGGGAATTGTAGCTGATTCTGTCAGATAAAAGTTGTTCGATTTTAAAGGTCCATCTAATTGCCCAAAGATATACGATACTGAATCTCCATATGCAGTTTCCTTTTATGAAGTACAGCGCTCTTGTTTTAGGAAGTCTTTTAAACATATAAATGCAAAAGAAATTAAATCACTCACGAAAAACTGTGTCAAATGAAGGGAAAGAAGGAAAGCCAACTTCAAAGCAGGGAAAGCAGTAGTGATCGGTGGCTGAGAGGTGTTTGCATTTCGTCCTGAACTGGTTGATGAGGAGGAGGAGGAGGAAGCAGATGATACCCGCTACACCCAGGGAACAGGTGGTGATGAGGATGATGATCCAGTGAGCATAAATGACATAGATTTAAGCCTGTATATCCCAAGAGTTGTAGATGAGACGGGTATTACTGTAGCCAGTCTTGAAAGATTCAGCTCATATACTTCAGATAAAGATGAAAACAAATTAAGTGAAGCCTCTGGAAGTAGGGTTGAAAATGGTGAAAGCAGTGATTTGTGACAGGACAACAAAGGCGAGGGACAGGAAAATGGAGCCATTGATGCTGTTCTTGTTGATGAAAATCTTTTTACTGGGGAAGATTTGGATGAACTAGAAGAAGAATTAAACACACTTGATTTAGAAGAATGACATCATATAAGTCAATGAAAAAATTAAGTCAGCTCAGCATGAGGTGAGATTGACTGCATTAATTTTTTTCTGCCTAGAATGAACAGGGTGTTTATTTCCCATGCTGATTCTGGAGGCCTTAGCCTCCTCCAAAAAAAAAAAAAAAAAAATGGAATCCTCTCCCTACGTCTTCTCTTCTGACTTCGGCTACATCTTGTAGTAAGTTCAGAGTAGTTCATGATAAATTGAAAATATAATGGTTATTGCAGAAAACGACTGATTGTTGTAACTGTCCACTCAAGTAGGCAGTGTAAGTGCTTTCTCAGCTTTTGGTTTTCATTGGGCATGTGTTATTACCAAGAACAACATAAATTTGCATGTAAAATACCCTTCATTTGACACAGTTTTTCGTGAGTGACTTAATTTCTTTTGCATTTATATGTTTAAAAGACTTCCTAAAACAAGAGCGCTGTACCTCATAAAAGGAAACTGCGTATGGAGATTCAGTATTGTATATCTTTGGGCAATTAGATGGACCTTTAAAATCGAACAACTTTTATCTGACAGAATCAGCTACAATTCCCTGTGTTAAACTATTTAAAAGTTTTCTCTCCTCTTTTTTTGCCAATAAAGTTGTAAATAAAGACCACACATTAAAATCCCTAAAAATTAAAAAATAAATAAATTTAATGACTCAAAACAAAGAGTCTGATTCCGTATTGACATACAGTTCTTACCCCACACCATAATGGCGGGGGAAGAAGGCCAAGACTCAGAAATAAAATTCAATAGTGCACTTGATATAGTTTGGATGTTTTTCCCCTCCAAATCTCACGTTGACATTTGATCCCCAATGCTGGAGGTGGGGCCTGGCGGGAGGTGTTTGGGTCATGGGGGCGGATCCCTCATGAATGGCTTGGTGCTGGCCAGCCATAATGAGGGAGTTCTCTTGCTATTGCTTCCCAGGAGAACTGACTGCTAAAAAGAGCCTGACACCTCCCTTCTCTTTCTCTTGCTTTCTTCCTCTCACTGTAGGGTGCCTGCTCCCCTCTGCCTTCCACCATGGCTTTCCACCATGAGCAAAAGCTTCCTGAGGCTCTCGCTAGAGCAGATGCTGGCACCAGGCTTCTCGTTCAGCCTGCAGAACAGTGAGCCAAATAAACCTCTTTTCTTTATAAATTCCCCAGCCTCAGGTATTCCTTTATAGCAACATAAATGGACTAAGTATTCTTCCTGATATTTATAATTATTCAAAATAATCTAAAAAAATCTATAATTTTAAAGTTTACAAAAACAGCTTCAAAGCTATCGTCCTATTTTATCCTTTCAATATATTGAAATGGTTTAAGTTGCTACTATTGAGGTTAAATGTGATATTCGGTATGTGAAGAATACATTGCCTATCACTAAAATGTGTCTGTGATTCCCTGTCCAAAAAGAAAAATGGTTAAAATGGTCAGTTTTATGTCATGTATATTTTACCTCAGTAAAGAAAAATGAGAGGCCGGGCACGGTGGCTCACGCCTGTAATCCTAGCACTCTGGGAGGCTGAGGCGGGAGGATCGCTTGAGCTCAGGAGTTCGAGACCAGCCTGAGCAAGAGCAAGACCCCGTCTCTACTAAAAACATAGAAAGAAATTAGCTGGACAACTAAAAATATATAGAAAAAAATTAGCCAGGCATGGTGGCGCATGCCTGTAGTCCCAGCTACTCGGGAGGCTGAGGCAGGAGGATCGCTTAGGCCCAGGAGTTTGAGGTTGCTGTGAGCTAGGCTGACGCCATGGCACTCTGGCCTGGGCAGCAGAGTGAGACTGTGTCTCAAAAGAAAAATGAGAAAAAACAATGTCTTCTAGGCTGACCTCCCCAGGCAGCTGGGAGGCTTAAGGAGATTGTGGCTAGGAAAGCCCTGGGTAAGACTCAGTAGAGAAAGAAAGGAGTATTCCTTTTTGGAAGTGCCAACCTCAAAAAGGTGTAAGTCAGTCCTTTGTGAGACCTCATATCAGTTAGCCTGAATCTCACGTGTGTATTTAATACTTTGGCACTGAAAGCATTTGGCCCATCCTAAAGGTCAACTTCTCTTGCAGAGAGCCATCCCCAGCCTCAGCAGTCCTGGCAGGGTTGTCCTGATCCTCCGGGATAATAGGGAATAGGGGCCACTAACCACTTGGCCCAGGCCAAGGGCTTTCATTTAAAAAAAAAAAAATCTCTTTCTTCTTCCAGGCCACTCCTGGCAGCTTTCTGCTGGTTCCTTGTGTCCTCACCTTCCCCGCCCTGTAGTCTCCATCCAGGGGCTGAGGCCGTGAAACCCCAGTGGCTCCAGCGACACTTTTTCTCCTGTGCCTTTTGCTGCACCTCACACTTGCTGAGCACCCTCTCCCCCACGGCAGCCAGTGTTCCTGGCTCTTTCACATTCTCTATATTATCTCACTGAGAAGGTCAAGAGGGTTAATTATTGATGTCA